GGTTAGGGTTAAACGGGGGGTAGGGGTGGGGGGCAGACTGTCTGCTCCAGTGTCTTAAAAACCCCACCCCCATGGCGGGGACCCAGATGGGAGGCGAAGGATTAAATCCTGTAGGAGGAGACATGTGACATCATCAGCTGATCAGACAGCTGTCCTCCACCTCCATCACAACTCCTCCTCCTCCTCCTTATCACCATCATCATCATCATCATCATCAGATGCTTCACTTGAGCAGCTCGATGGTTTGAAACATCAGCTGATGTTTTTCTGAGTCGTGATCTGTGGGCATGACTCGCTATCACACACCTGCTGAACACAAGACACAATACTGCCCACGATCCAGGTTATTTGTCTGTGTCCACTGACGTCCTCCAGAATAAAGACGCCTCTGGGTTGATCCGCGGCCAGAACTGCATCGGCTTCTTTATCGAGTCACAGTCTGAATAAAGCAGGGGTGTCCAACTGCAGTCCTCGAAGGCCGCTGTCCTGCAGGTTTTAGAAGTGTCCACTGATTTAAATGGCTAAATGACCTCCTCAACATGCCTTAAAGTTCTTCAGAGGCATGGTAATGAACTAATCATTTGATTCAGGTGTGCTGACCCAGGGTGAGGTCTAGAACCTGCAGGACACCGGCCCTTGAGGCCTGGAGTTGGACACCCCTGGCATAAAGCACGCCCTGCTGTGGTCCAGATGTGTTGTCACGGGACACCAAAAGGTGTGAACTGTCCACACCTGGTTTGTACACCTACATGGTGTCGGGTCCGATCTCGTGCTGATGATTTCCTGTTTAAACCAGTTTTGACTTTTCCTGACGTGACGTCATCAGGATTCATCGTTGCTTTTATAAAGAGGAGTGATGTGGGCCCATTGCCGCCCCTGTGCCAGCACGGTGTTGGTGCTGAAGGAAGATTTTGACATGTTTTCCTGTTCTCCTCTTCAAGGAGATGAAATTGGCCTTTAGAGTGATTTGTGCTCAGAGTCTGTGGAAACAAGCGTGAAGCTGTATAAAGAGGCTGAAGTGATGGATGTTTATGAGGAGCTGCAGGCCTGGAGGCGTCCTGGGGTCCGGCAGCTGCAGGGTTTGGTGTGTTTGGTTGTTTGTGGGATCCTTTGGGGGTGGGGTGTTGTGTCTTGGTTAACTTTTGTTTCTCTATTGTCGTCGTTCACACTAAAGGATTTGGTCCTGCTGCCAGACTCAGTCTTTCCTCCCACAGCATCCTCTCAAAGAGGCGATGAGGAGGAGGGGGGGAGCCTGGGAAAGTCACCTCAACCAAGTTCAAGTTGAAAAGGGCCAGAGGAGGGAGGAGGAGGAACGATGCATTCACTGAACAGCATAATAAACAGACACAAGACCTGCATTAGTCTTTATCTGAGGGGGCCCGCAGAGAGGCTGATCTGTGCTGTGTTTGAGGGGTGGCTGTAGAGCAGGTGGCGGTTTAGTTTGTTGCTCCAGCATGCCAAATATCCCTGGACAAGATGTTAGGTCCACTTTGCTCTCTGACACATCCATCACAGAAAGAATTCTGTAGAAATAATGTGTGGTATAAATTGCTCTGAGGTGGAGCAGGAAAGCGCTGTAGCAGTTCGTTCACCACGTGATGGAAACAACACACTGCAGACCTGAGCCCCGCTGCTTTCTGCTTCTTGTTCAGTCCAGGCCTTCAGATGATGAGAGGTGTAGTAACACGTAATTTAAAGACCTCAGTCTGTGTGACAGACCTGATTGATTATATTGGGTGCATGCAGTCTTCTAACGTTCCCAGTTTATTTATAACAAACACTGGCTCTGATTCTTTCACTACATATACATCATTGCCATCTTTGTCATCATTGCCATCGTCACATTCATGTGTTCATCATAGCCTGAGGGTCAACGCGAGACCTGAGTTCTGCCTGCCAGAGTCACCTGGATACTGCTTTGGGCCGTCATCATCGCCACCTCATTGCCACCTCCTCGCCCTTATTATCATCATAACCCTCATCTCCACATCTGCCTCCTGTCAGTGAGTGTTTGTGTTTTTAAACCTGCTTCACCATCAGAAACGTGCACTGAGACTCCGCCCCTGACCCTCCTGCTTCCCCTTAGGTGTGCTCGGAGCGTTGGAGTTGGCCTTCTTGAAGGAGCCTGGTGATGTTATTGCGGTCAGGGGCCGTCCCCTGATGCTGGACTGTCAGGTGGAGGGGGAGGGGCCTATCGCTATCACCTGGAGACTCAACGGGGTTCCCATAGCGACTGGTACCAGAGCAACAGTGCTCACCAACGGCACGCTGCTCATCAGAAATTTCTCCAAGAGACGAGAGAGCAACGAGACGGATGCCGGAGAGTACGAGTGTGCAGTGCAGAACCGCTATGGCATGCTGGTCAGCCGCAAGGCCCGCGTCCAGCTCGCATGTGAGTTGCCGTCCACCCGAACACACAAAAAACATCAAACAAACCTCACAGTAACACACACGTGACCCACCTGTACTAACGGTCTCTTCTCCACCTCCCACCAGCCCTCCCTAAGTTCCTCTCTCACCCAGAGTCCATGCATGTGGATGTAGGGGGTGTGGCCAGACTCACCTGTCAGGTGAATGGTATCCCAGAGGCCAAAATCACCTGGCAGAAAGACAGATGCTCACTGAGCACCGATAACCACAGGTATGTCTTTAGTGAAGTGTGATGAGATTAAATTTTAACGTATAAGGATTCAAGCCTGTTTGTATATGCTTTGTGTACAGGTACACCTTGCTTCCTAATGGCGTGCTGCAGATCACCGGCGTTCAGCGGACTGACAGCGGTTTGTTTCGCTGCATCGCCTCAAACATCGCCAACACTCGCTACAGCCACGAAGCCCAGCTGACTGTCACCGGTAAGACAAAACTGAGGGCAAGGTTCTGTAAGGCAAAACTCACATAATTAAAGACTGAATGCCCCGATTTGGGGGTAAAAAGAGTCCAGAATGAGGGTAGAAAGAGTCCGGACTGACGGTAGAAAGAGTCCAGAGTGAGGGTGAAAGAGTCCAGACTGAGGGTAGAAAGAGTCCGGACTGAGGGTAGAAACAGTCCGGACTGAGGGTAGAAAGAGTCCGGACTGAGGGTAGAAGAGTCCTGAATGAGGGTAGAAAGAGTCCAGACTGAGGGTAGAAGAGTCC